CGTAGCTAGGATGGAAGCAATTAGAATGTTATTAGCATTTGCATGTTTCAATGAATTTAAATTATATCAAATGGATGTTAAAAGTGCATTTTTAAATGGTTTTATAAAAGAAGAAGTGTACGTGGAACAACCTCCAGGTTTTGAAGATTTAAATTTTCCGGATCATGTTTTAAAATTGACAAAAGCTCTTTATGGTTTAAAACAAGCTCCTAGAGCTTGGTATGAAAGATTGTCAAATTTTTTAATTGAAAAGGTTTTTCAAAAGGAAAGGTTGACACTACATTGTTTTTAAAGAGAAAAGGTAAAGATTTATTAGTAGTTCAAATTTATGTGATGATATAATATTTGGTTCTACTAAGATGTTCTTTGCCAAGAATTTTCTAAGCTAATGCAAAGTGAGTTCGAGATGAGCATGATGGGGGAGCTCTCATATTTCTTGGGACTCCAAATCAAGCAAAGGAAAGATGACATCTTCATTAATCAAGCTAAGTATGTCAAAGATATGCTCAAGAAATTTGGATTGGAAAATGGGAAGCCTTATGCCACTCCAATGAGCTCTTCTACAAAGCTTGACTTAGATGAAGGAGGTAAATGTGTGGATGTTAAATTATATAGATCCATGATTGGCTCATTGCTTTATCTAACTGCAAGTAGACCGGACATTATGTTTAGTGTTTGCTTATGTGCTAGATTTCAATCATGTCCTAAGGAATCACATTTACTAGCTGTTAAGAGAATCTTTAGATACCTTAAGGACACTCCTAGTTTAGAACTTTGGTATCCTAGAGACTCTAGCTTTAGCTTGCATGCCTTTTCTGATGCGGATTATGGAGGATGCAAATTAGATAGGAAAAGCACCTCCGGTACTTGTCAATTCCTTGGAAATATGCTGATTTCTTGGTTTTCAAAGAAGCAAAATTGTGTTGTATTATCTACCACTGAAGTGGAATACATTTCAGCCGGTAGTTATTGTGCACAAGTTTTATGGATGAAACAACAACTTTTTGATTATGGAATTGAAGTAGGTACCATTCCTATCAAGTGTGACAATACTAGTGCTATTTGTCTCATTAAAAATCCCATCCAACACTCTAGAACTAAGCACATTGAAATAAGACATCACTTCATTAGAGACCATGTCACTAAGGAAGATGTAGTTCTAGAATATGTTGATACTTTGCATCAATTAGCGGATATCTTTACAAAACCCTTAGACAAGAAAAAGTTTTGGACACTTAGAAGAGAATTAGGTTTAACTGACCTATCTTCACTTAGTGTTTAAAATAATTTAGCACTTTTAATAAATACTGAAAAATGCTTATAATAATAATTTTTGATTGCATTCTTGCTATTAGTTAGGGGGAGTTTATGATTCTTAGTGAAAATTAATTTTATGTTCAAATAATGTTTAAAGATTAATTTGATTGATTGAATATAATTAATTTTTGATATATGAGTTGCCATTACCATTAGAGCCAAATTATTTAGCATTTTAAGTGTTTAAAACGGATTTTTGACATTTTTGTGCTTCATGCACCGATGCATTTAACAATGCATCGATGCATCGCTTTGAATATGTATCGATGCATCACCATGATGCACCGATGCATGCCTTGAATATGCATCGATGCATAAGACCATGCACCGATGCATCCGTCGGGTTTTAGGTTTAAAATCCTCATATTCTTCATTTTTCTCAAACCCTAAACACTAAAACATACGGCCATTCGACCCCTCTCTCTCCAAAATCTCCATTTTGCTCAAAATCTTCGGGAAAACATCGGATTCTTCAAGTTTTATATCCTACAAACCTGCTACAATCATTAAATCGCACAAAACATCTCCACATTCTCCTCAATCCGAATTTTTCAAGGTGATATTCCTTTTCCGATTTTCCTTACCATGACTAATCCTAAATGCCCTAGGACATCCTCTAGTCGGTCTCACCAAAACCGTCCTCCCGTTCCTCAACATCCTCCTCCCAATCCTCCGATAGAGTAGACTTACTTGCCATGTTTTCTTGTTTTTAAAACTTGGATTGATTTTGATTTTTGTGCTTTGTTTGGTACTTTGAACTTGATTAGTTGTTGGATGTTTGTTTGAGGATGCTTGAACTTATTATATATATTTGGTTTGATATTTTAACGCTTTCTGTTTATTAATTTTGCATCATTAGAAATTTATGACCAAATTATGCCATTTCACATTTATTATGAATTGTTTATGAAAACTAATGGCTAATCTCTCTTTTGATTGTGATCTTAGCAGCTTATTAATAAATCAATTGGCTAACGTTTTATAGAGTCTTTTTGATTTAACAAAAAGGGGGAGAAAATTTAAGATGTGCTATAGTAAGGGGGAGTAAGTTTTTGATGTGCTATAGTAAGGGGGAGTAAGTTTTTCAAAATCGATTTCAAAAAATAATTTCTTAAACAAATCTTAAAATTACTTAAATGTTTTGTTATATCAAAAAGGGGGAGATTGTTGAAAACATTTTTGATATTTCGATATAACAAATTAAGTTAAATGAATTTTAAGATTTTACAAATTTATATTCGATTCAATTAACCGAATATCAAATTATTACTCCAAGTTTTTCAAGATCAATTTTAATCCTTACTAAATGTGTAAAATTGTGATTTGTACTTAAACTATTTTGAAACAATTTTCACAAAGTATTTTGAACCAAAAACAAGCCTTAAATCAATTATCAAAGGCATGCACCGATGCATCAGTCCATGCATCGATGCATCGATGAATTAATTGAACATCGAATGCATTCCATGCACCGATGCACTCTCCATGCATCGATGCACTCTCCATGCATCGATGCACTCTGAATATTTTCAAAACATCGAATGCATTTGATGCATCGATGCACAAGTCATGCATCGATGCACCAGGCTATTTTTCAAACATCGAATGCATTTCATGCATCGATGCACACTTGGTGCACCGATGCATCAAGTGTTCCAACGGTCAAAATATTTGAATTTTACACTGATGCACCGATGCATCATCCATCATGCATCGATGCATGAGACGCTCCACCTAGAAAAATTAATTGCTTCCACACTTAAACGGCTATATGATCTTCACTAATCATCCCCAACGTTCAGAAGTGATTCAAGGTGTATTTAAACAAGTTCTGAAGCCCTTGATCAATAAGAAATTATAGAGAAACAAGAGAGAAAGCATCAAACACCAAGTTTGTGCAAATCAAGCCAATTTTCCTTTCAATATTCATTTTCCTTTCAAGAACACCATTTGTGCTCATTTGTAATTATCTTTGAGTGTTCTTTTCTTGTTCTAGAATTGTGCAAACATCTTACCTTGTGAGGTTTTCTTGTAAGTTTGCAAATTTATAATCTTCTCTTTGGGAAAAGAGTGTTCTCAAGAATTGGGGTATATTCTTGAGGGTATTGTAAGGTTATCTCTTTGGCCTCAAAAGAAAGAACAAATTAGTGAATTTGTTGGAAAATCCTTAGTGTGGATAGCTAAGGTAGTGGACGTAGACTTTGATTGAGAAAGTCGAACCACTCTAAATCGCTGTGCAAATCTTTTCAATTTTCTGCAAAAGCTTCCACCGAATTTTTAATTGCCAATTCACCCCCCTCTTGGCTAATTCCGTCGATCGATTAACTCAACAGAAGTTCTCCCTCTGGACTCTGTGTGCAAGGCTGAGGAGGTTGATGCTTCACCCGATTCTCTCCGTCGAATTTCTTCGCTCAGTACCAAATCCCGAACATCGTCGAATTTTAATTTGTTGTTTCCCGACGAACTGCTGACTGCTGTAACAGTAGCATTCCAACTGTCTGGTAAAGATGATAAGAGAATTAAAGCTCGAACTTCATCATCAAATTCAATTTCCACTGAACTTAACTGGGTTGTGATTGTGTTGAGTTCATTTAGGTGTTGTGCCACCGATGCCCCTTCCGTCATCCGCAAATTAAATAATCGCCTCATCAAATGAACTTTGTTTGAGGCCGATGGCTTCTCATACATACTGGAGAGAGCCGTCATAAGACCTGCCGTGGTCTTTTCCTTTGCTATGTTGAAAGCAACATTACGGGATAACGTCAGTCGGATAACTCTGAGGGCTTGTCTGTCGAGAAGAGCCCAGTCTTCATTCTTCATGCCCTCTGGTTGTTTTCCTAAGAGGGGTTGATATAGATTTTTCTGGTATAGAAAATCTTCAATTTGTATCTTCCAAAATCCAAAGTCCGCACCATCGAACTTTTCAATTTTCACATTCCCTTCGTCTGCAGTCATCGCTCCCACTCAAATCTGGCTTCGTTTGGATCGTTTCTGACAATTTCTGCGAACCGCCGTGTATTAGAACACCTCCGTCGACAAACTCGTATCGCCGACTGAATTTTACTATTCACTATTCACGTGAATAGTAACCCGAATAGTAACCTCGAAAAAATTGACAGAATTCACAACCAAAAGCTCTGATACCAGTTGTTAGGAAATAAACGAGTAACAAGTAATTTCCCTATAGTCATATTAGTGAGAATACGAAATAAAAGCGGAAAAATAATACCCGAAATTGATAACGGAGTTCAGTCAATTGTGCTTACGTCTCCGGACTGCTGCAGATCTTTTACTAAGAGAGAAAATTTACAGGTGTTTACAAAACACTCACTACTCACAAGAAAGCTCTCTAGTATTGGGAGAAAGAAATGATTTTTGGGATTGTTTTGAAACTAAATGAGCTAGGATATTTATAGTTGAAACTTAAGGACTTAATCTTGTAAATACCCTAAAGCCTAGGGATTAATTGTGATTATCCCATTATCATTTTTCAACAAACATCTACCAAACTTTGAAAAACTATTTTTCAAAGAAACATTTACCAAACTTTGAAAACAATTTTCAAAGAAACATTTACCAAACTTTGAAAATCATTTTCAAAGAAACATTTACCAAACTTTGAAGACTATTTTTTTAAAGTTGGTTACCAAACTTGAAAACCATTTTAATAATTTCAACAGTTTCAACTTCGGAAGATGCTATTTATGGAGAAAAAGAGGAGCCGAAGTATGATTTAACGAAATCAAAGCTACGGCACACTTACAATCAATCCAACAACACAAAATCGAAGTTTGAAGAAAAAAAATATCGAAATGGAGGTTGCAACTAATAAAAATAAGGATAATATTGAAATGATCAATCAAGGAGGAGCTGAAAAGAAACATGCAAAGGCTTCAGTTACAACTGCTACTGCTGCTGATGCTGTGGAGGTAAATGGGAAAGAGGGGCCGAGGTTCAGGGATTTGGGTGGGATGGGAGGTGTACTGGAGGAGTTGATGATGGAAGTCATAGTGCCTCTTTATCATCCACATTTGCCACGATGGTTGGGAGTTAGGCCAATGGCCGGAATTTTGCTCCATGGCCCACCTGGTTGCGGCAAGACCAAATTGGCCCACGCAATTGCCAATGAAACTGGTGTTCCTTTCTATAAAATTTCAGCTACAGAGGTGGTTTCGGGTGTCTCAGGTATTCATCTTCTGTTTTTCTTTCTTTGACTCTTCCTGCTGAATATGATTATTGAGGCTTCATGAATTCATAGCATTATCATGGAGTTGTTGTATGGACTTTGATAAATGAACCGTGATCGGAGATGTTTTCTGATAGTAATGTTTCGTATTTAATATATTATGTGCATCAGAGGAAAATATTAGGGAACTCTTCTCAAAAGCATATAGGACTGCTCCTTCAATTGTTTTCATTGATTAGATTGATGCCATTGCATCTAAAAGAGAAAATCTGCAGAGGGAGATGGAGCGGAGAATCGTCACACAGTTGATGACTTGTATGGATGAATCTCATAGACTTGTGCAACCAAATGATAAGGATTCTAGTTCAGAGATCTCTGATTCCAAGCCTGGTTATGTGCTTGTGATTGGAGCTACCAATAGACCTGATGCTGTTGATGCTGCGCTATGGAGGTCTGGACGATTTGATCGTGAGATTGTTCTTGGTGTTCCGGATGAAAATGTCAGGTGTGAGATTCTTTCTGTGATTACACGAAATCTTAGGCTTGAAGGGTCTTTTGATCTTTTGAAAATAGCAAGGGCTACACCAGGTTTTGTTGGAGCGGATTTGGCTGCCTTAGCTAACAAGGCTGGTAATCTTGCCATGAAGAGGATCATAGACCAGAGAAAGCATGTTATTTCTAAAGAATCTATTGATGAGGAGCAAGCTGATCAGTGGTGGAGGCAGCCTTGGTTGCCCGAGGAGATGGAAAAACTAACAATCACTATGGCTGATTTTGAGGTAATTCAGGGTGTAACTTTTGTTTGTTTCATTTATTTATAAGACAAAACGCAAGCTGTTGTGTATGCTTAGTTTAGTGGCTTTCTGTTCTATATGCTATTTATAAAAGTTAGTTTGGAAATGAATTTGTATTTTCATTTCTAAATGCGGTTTTCCTACTTGTAAGTAAAAAAAAAAAGTGGTTGTCAATGCTGTTGTATGAGCTTTAACTTTGATGTTATTTTATTATTTTAGTCTTATTAATTAATTAGTAGACATATAGACAGACAGCTAGGATTATAAGACATCTTTAGGGTTAAATATAGGTTTAGGATTATTATTTATCTTTTGGGTTTAAATATAGGGTTATGATTAAAACTTTGCTTGCAAGAAAACAAGCCTATATAAATAATTTGTAGGCTTTATGGCCAAAATAATTATCCTTATTATTTTCTTTGAATTAATAGAAAACTAGAGGTTTTAATAACCCTAAGTTTTTCTTGAGTTCCATCTTTCACATTCGTATTTCAGTCATAATTTTATTGTTTTATTCCTGATTTTCTTCTTAGCCACATCAAATGCCTTAAATATAGTATAGTTGCCATTATTAAGAGTTCTAATGAACTTCCATTGATGCTCTATTAGTTTGAGACAAAGCTGGTATATTTCTGCCTGTGATGCATATGTAAATTTTTTATGCTAGAAATTTTTATATGAACTTTAGTTATGCCCCTGTATTCATGTATTTGCTTAAAAATATTTTAGCTGCAGGAAGCAGTTAAAATGGTTCAGCCCTCATCACGAAGAGAAGGATTCTCTACAATTCCAAATGTTAAGTGGGAGGATGTTGGTGGTCTTGATTTCCTAAGGCAGGAATTTGACTGTTACATAGTCAGGCGCATAAAATTTCCCGAGGAATATGTGGTAATTATATATTATTTCTACTTCTTTATTCTATCTTTCTCTTTGCTGTATCCAGAAAAAAAAGGGAAGAGAAACCTTGAACATAGAATTATATAATTGTAGGGCCTTCTTAATGTGGTAAATGAAAGAAAGTCATCCATGAGAAATTGGTTAGAATGCGTTAAACATGTCATGCATGACCTCCAACATAGTTGACTTGAAATCTCAGAGCAACTATAATATAAGCAATATTTACTTTGTTAGTGTGCTTGCTACTATAGTATTGATTTTCAAATCCCTGTGTTATTCACAATGTCAGGAATTTGGAGTGGACTTGGAGACAGGATTTTTGCTTTATGGACCACCAGGCTGTGGTAAAACGTTGATTGCAAAGGCTGTAGCTAATGAGGCTGGAGCCAATTTCATTCACATCAAGGTCAGCTTATAGCATGTATTTCAACTGGTTTTGTCTGTTATGATGTTAAGTGTTAACTGGGTCTAGAATACATTAAGCTAATTTTCCTATGTTTTTGCTTTCACTGATCATGAGTTCCTTTGCTGATTAGGGCCCTGAACTTTTGAATAAATATGTTGGAGAAAGTGAGCTGGCAGTTCGGACATTGTTCAGCCGTGCTAGGACATGTTCTCCATGCATACTTTTTTTTGATGAGGTCTGTCTTTTTTATTTAGAAATGAGAAAATTTTCTGGAGAAAACATTCCTACTGTGAGGTTTGGTGTTTTTGAGGTCTTTCTGATCTTATCTAGGTGGATGCTTTGACCACAAAGCAAGGGAAAGAGGGGGGGGGGGTTGTTGAACGACTTCTGAACCAGGTTAGTTAATCTGGTATGGCTATCTCTAAGCGAATTGATTACCACTTCCTATCTTTCCATATAAAAAATTACAAAATGCAAATAATGACTTGGAAGCATCTGTCATATTTTCAGTTGCTCGTTGAGTTGGATGGATCGGATCAGCGGCGTGGTGTTTATGTTATTGGTGCCACTAATAGGTAGAATATGTAGTTTCGGTTTTTCAGATGAAGATCATCGATTATCATTTCTTTACACTGTTTGGCTTTGGCAGACCTGAAGTGATGGATCGTGCTGTTTTACGGCCTGGTAGATTTGGTAAACTTCTTTATGTACCTCTTCCCAGTCCTGACGAACGTGGGTTGATCTTAAAAGCTCTAGCTAGGAAGAAACCGATTGATGCCAATGTGGATTTGAGTGCAATTGGACAAATGGAGGCTTGTGATAATTTAAGTGGGGATGATCTTTCTGCACTGGTGTACCTGTTTTTTATACATTGAAATTCTAGGAACTATGAAGTAATTAAACCTTAATTCTGGAACAAAATTGTGAAACTTTTATCCCATTGGGGTTGAAAATATTCAGATGAATGAAGCACCCATGGCTGCACTGGAAGAGAAACTGACTTCAACAGGGATATATGAGGCTTCATGGACAATCAAGACGTTGCATTTCGAACATGCACTGAATAAGATCTCACCATCAGTGTCCGACAAGGTATAATTTACTCTGAGTCACTACATCATGGCTTCTGATGAAAAGATTCTTTGATAGCAGAGAGGTTGATTAACCTGTTTGTGATCATCTTGGAACAGCAAAAACAGTTCTACAAGGTATTATCAGAGAGCTTCAAAGCTGGTTGATAATGAGGTAAAGACGTATGCCGTTAACTGGAGCTTTATTGATGTCTGATATCCTACACTTGAAGAGTGCATGATCAAAAGTGCCGCCATTCTAATCGATATGGGTGCGACATCCATTATACAATTAAACCCATCAGGAATGGATGGATTGTTTTCAAGACAGGTTTTTGTCACCATACATTAAATTTATGTATTTTCTTATCACTATTGTTTTGTTTTGCAGCTTTATTATTTCTAACGAGGATAAACATAAATGATCAAAAACATGCAATGGTTTCCCATAACCAAAATTAAGAATGCTAACACCACACTCAAGGATATTAACATGAGAAATAGAGGTTGAGAGCAGGTATTCGTAGCAAAATGAGATTAACATCAAAAGCAGAGACGTTTTCTAAAATATTAAATCAAATTAGATTTATTGATTTATTGAAACGAGCAACGGTCTCTAGAATATTAAATAAATCCATCTAAGAAACATTAATTTTTATCCATAAATTTATCGAATATATAAAATTAAATTATTGAATCAATAAAAAGAACAAATATAATAAAATCAATTTAAAAAAAAAACTGTAAAATCTAATCAACATTGATTGAAATGTACACAAACTAAAATGATAAAAATAAAACAATCATTTTATACGTAAAGACTATGCGTAAAGACTATTACGATTCTAAGGAGCAAATTTTTTTTATATAAAAAAAATCCAAGCCAAGAAAACAACTGTGGGGTTGGGAAGATAAGTTGAATACTCTGAAAAATTCAAACCGCACCTCTAATGAACATAAACATATATTAGGATACCTATCATATACAATCTCCAACAGTACCATACCATTATCAAAGTTATTTAGGTTATCTCCAGCCCTCATTTCTACTCTACAGCATCTTTATCTCTACTCTAAAGATGAAACAGTAATTCATCTCCAGTACTATCTCTATATTATCACAAACTCTACTTTATTCACAATATTTAACTATTATAATATTGATTTTACAAATATAAAATAAAACATATACATTTTTAATAAATATCAAGATAAAAGACATAAATAAAGCATTACAAAAATACAAATAAAAAAAATACAATTCATAATAATAATAATACAAAAAAATATAAGTTACATAATTATATATTTTAATTCTCCGAATTAGAATATCTCAACCATTCAATTTTATACCAACTTTTTCTATAAATAACTGGCATCACATTTTCTCTAACACGACTCAGAAAAATCACAATTCTTACATTTCTCATTTCTAAAATGTCGACAAAGTCACGCACTAATTTCAAATAAGGTGAAGATCGATACCTCTGCAGTGTCTATCTTGATATTACACAAGATCCGATCGTTGGCAACAACCAAACGAAATATCGTTTTTGGCAGCGTGTTGAAGTAAAACACAATGGCGAAGCAAAACACAATGGTGAATCAAAACCTTCTCACATTGTCGATGTAATTATAGATCGATATAATATCGCATGTCTACTTGAATTTATTATCTAATTTCAATGTATTTTTATCTATCTTGCAGTTTAATCTACTTGAATTTATTATATTATGTTTAATTTTTTTTATTGTGTAGAAATTACAATAAAAAAAACATAAAAGATAAAATAAGATAACAAAGAAAAGGAAAAGAAAAAGAAAATAACAAAAGAAATTAAAAAAACCAAAAATCAGAAGAAAAAAATGTAACGCATCTACAATGCAACACCAGTTGTAGCGTGCACTATAGCCCGACACCACAATCCAGCATAACAATGACAATGGACTGGAGCATAGGATCATCTCCAAAGTGGAGATGAATACCACTCCAGCGATGGGCTGGAGATGTCCTCAAAGAAACAATCTTTGGGATAGGACATAGTCACTGAAAGTCTGAAATTATAATAATGCTACTGGTCGTCAATCTTAGGGGTTCAGGCCTCTCTGCTTCCTCATCTAGGAACGGTCTTTTATTCATTGTTTGATTGTTACTCGAAAAATGTTATAAAAATTGAATGAGAGTTTAATTTGCCTTCTAACTTTGAGTTTCTGAACTACAAAATTATACAAGCCAATGAAAAGGACCCAATTATCTACCTCAAAGTTGTTCTGAATTCAAGGATTTAACTTGTCCAGAAGCGGAATAGATCAATAAGTGAAAGTTGGATTACGCTTTACCGATATTCAGCTGCATCCATGACTGGTAAATTGGTAATGGCTGAAACCTCAGCCCCATCTATATTGTTATGAAAGCCTGGAAATGAATTCCATTTATTCTATTTGTTGGTTTATATATATATATATATATATATATATATATATATATATATATATATATATTTCTCACTTCTAATATCGTGAAGAAGACTTATAGTGTTATCATTTCATACATCAGGTTTGTTTCGGTGCCTGTCATTTGTGTTGACAAACATCATTGGTTGGAATAATTAAGGTTTACAGATTATCAGATAATCAAGTTAAAAACGTACCATACAATGCTGATACTCTTACGATTTTATGATACAAGGAAGCATTGCAAACACCATGTTGAAGTATCATTAAGCACTTGATTATCTAACTCTCTGATGATATGAAGCTGCACCAGCAGAGGTTGGAACATTCAGCTTGAAATTGATCTATATATTGAAAATTGCATTTCCATCCAGTGTTTATCTGAACATAACAGATTGTAGTTTCCAACAACTTCCAACTTACCACAGCAATATGAACAAGTTGATTCAATATGCAACTGACGATCTTTACACTATCTTTGCTATATTTCAAATCAAGATTGATTTATCATATCGTAATATGAGGTCGGCAAATAAGGTGGCAGTGCATAAATTTGCAGAAAAACCCTTACCGACCATTTCTGCAAGAACTTCTGTTGCCTTTGACGTAGAGTTGTTTCGAAGAAGCCCTTGGATCATTACATTAAAACAGCATCTATCAGGCGAGCAACCATTATCTTCGATGCTCCTAAACAATTGGTATGCTTCATCTGGCAATCCCTTTTTACAGTTTCCATTAATGATTACAGCATATGTGTAAACATCGGGTTTTAAACCATTGACTGAGAGTTCACGAAATACTTCCTTTTCCACTTTGATATGGCCAGCTTTGCACAAGCCATCAATTAGGATATTATATGAGACAATATTGAGCTCAAATCCACTGTTCTGCATTGCTCAAAAAACTTTCAATGCCTCTTAGAGTTTACCACTTTTGCAGCAACCATCCAGCAGAATGGAACAGCTCACTAGGTTTGGAATTTGTCCAAAAGCAAACATATTTCTTCAAAGTTCAATCGCAGCTGAAATTCTCCCTGATTGACACATACCTTGCATAAGAGTGTTGTACGTGACAACATTAGGCTCAATGTCTTGCTTTCTCATTGTGTCGACAATATCTTCAGCTTCAGAAACCATTCCTTTCTTGCAATGTGCATCAACCAAAATACTATACGTGACAACATTAGGCTCGATGATTTGCTTTCTCATTGTATCAACAATATCTTCAGCTTCAGAAACCATCCCTTTCTCGCAATGTGCATCAACCAATGTATTATACGTGACAACATCAGGTCAATCCCTTGCTTTCTCATTTTATCAACAATATCTTTAGCTTCAAAAACCATTCCCTTCTTGCAATGAGGATCAACCAATATAGTATATGTGACAACATTAGGCTTAAGGCCTTGCTTTCTCGTTAGGCTTAAGCCCTTTCTTGCAAAACGCATCAACCAATATACTATATGCGACAATATTAGGTGAAATATTGTTATCCATCATTTCATTCAAAAGCTTTGTTTCCTCCTTCTGATGGCCCAAATTACACATAGCATGAATTAAGCAACTGTAGGTAGTGATGTTCGGTCTATTGCCCTTAACCTTCACTTCGGAGAAGAGATCGAGAGCCTCCAACTGCATTTACAAAGACAGTCGATAACAGTGTTATATGCTACAATATCGAGTTTGAAACCTCTTGCTTCCATCATCCTTAGAAACCTAACAGCTCTATGGGTATCACCGGTCTTAAACAACCCGTTAAGTATTGTACTATAAGTAATTAAAGGAGGTTGATACCCTTTTCCAATCATTCCATCAAACAAGCTCACAGCCTGAAATACCTTTCTTTGTTTACAAAGTCCATTAATCAAAGTGGACAAAGTTACAGCAGTAGGTTCAACACCTATCTTCAGCATTTTCCTCAAAACAGAAAACCCAAAATCAGTTTGACCTAATTGACAAAACAATTAATCAAGACGCTCAAACAATAAGCATCTGGAGGAACTCCTACGGAGTCCATCTGTCTACACATAGAAATAACAGTGGCATAATGTTTCATTCGAGCAGTGGCAGTGGCTCCTAATAGTTTAGTGAATTCCACAATCGAAGGCTTTGGACATTTCTGAATCTCATCTTATTAAACAAAGTCAGAGCTTCATCAACATTATCGAAGCGATCATAATTTCTCTGGTTTCCCCTTAAAGGCATGCAATTACTTACAGCTTTAGCAACGGTTTTAAGAGAAGAAAAGAAGAGTGGAAAACAGAAAAAATCGTTCGACCATTAACAATTGAAGGAGGAAGTGATGAAGAAATAAGCTTACCCATATCTTGAAATTAAGAAAAACGTTAAAACAAGGGGTGAGCTTTGAAATGAAACCACAAATGGCGGCGGCAGTAGCGTGTTCTCTTCGACACCAAGAGAGCAGAAGTAGATGACTTTGAAACTTGGCTAATTGGCTTAATGCACCATTTATCAGTTTTCGCTAACAAATGTTTACTTTTAACAGTAATGCCCCTAAAGTATACGAACATACAAAAAAAAAACAGTCATTACATTTCATTTTATTAAATTAAATTAAATTAAATTAAATAAAAATTTTGTTTAATATTAATAAATGTTTGACATGATTCAAACCAGAATCTTTGTATTTAACCCGAGATCAACTTAAAATCTTCATATAATTTGAAACAATACATAACTTGTTGAAGAACTTGCCACCAATGGATTATCTTCATCTTCTTCGCCCATGTTTGATGATTTTGATGCATCAAAGAAAATAAGAATTTTTTTCTTAATGGTCTAAAGTGATTATAGGATAATATTTGATAATAATTTTTCTTTCTTAGTCATTGACACTGCTGGTTAAATGAACAAAACAAGAACATTTTAGGTTGTTTAGTGGAATTAGTTTAACCAGAAGTTTAACAATAATGCCATACAATGGGCAAAGGCTTTTTCATGCAAGCGCCAATGAATTAAGCCTTGAAGTGGTTGTTATGAAGCCTTCAGCCATAAACAGAAATGGTAGAACTTGAAAACCAACTATTTATTTTCATTGCAAACAATCCCTTAGCAAAGGGGGCGGCGTTAAAAAGAATTAAGTGTGTTAAATGACTATCAAAAGTTAGAGACACTATTTCTTTTGCCTACATTATATACAGTCTCCCTGGATTTTTCGCCATCTTGGCAGGATGTTTAGCATCACAAGTAGGACAATACGAGCAAAGACCCCCAGTGTTCTTTTTGATAACATAAACTGCACAAGCATAAGCAGCTGGAAAAAAATGGAGTATGTGTGATCGAAAATATTTACAGTGTTGAAGTGGGACAAAAGTTCTTTCGGAAACCATCCCTTAATATTCAATTGTTTCGTTCACGTTTTTGGTTGCTTGTTTTGATCTGTAAATTTGAATCAATTACGGCACAGCCGTTACTAAAACCATAAAAGAGGAACCAAAAGAGAGATACGGAGCACCGAAATTGAAATGGAAAAAACTTACTAGTTGTAGTAGGATCTTCGTGTGCATAGAAACTAGCAGCTACTATTAGATAGCAAAGAATGAGCATTAGTCCTTTGAAGTAGTTTGCCGTTCCCTCCTACAGAGAAAAAAAGAAAGAAAAAGAAAGCATTTGTCCTACATGTTGCATCTTCTTTGAACTATTTTACTCGATCATGGGTGTAAATATCAAGTATTGTTCCTGTTCAATTTTTTCCAAGTTTTTCAAGTCCTAATATGCATCAGACGCCAATATTTTAAGAAAAATGAAGAGACAGAGCAATATAAATGTCTGAAGATTCCTTCCATTCCTGACAATAAAGATAACCGTTGGCCGTTATTACTTTTCAAAGCCATTGATATACACCAACCTGCAGAAAGAAGGCTACAACCATAACGGTTATGAACAAAGTTGCTGTCTCGAAAAGGTGAAAGTTTAAGTCCATTTCCCTTCCCATCATCCATCCTATAACCACACAAAAAGGAATCTGCATATTCAACAAGAATATGGATCAGCACACTAAGGCTAAACAAACATATTAACCATATGTATGTATCTACAATACACATACGCATACACATATCATGGTTCAGTTCAAATTCAGGATCAAAAGTTGATCAAAATTCCAGGATTTAAGAATTGTCTATGCACGATCATCATGTAAAAAGAGTGGAGATTGCTATATAATTGACAAAAATGAGTAAACCCGTACGAGAACAGATATAAGAACAAAATATATGTTCTTCATAACTCAACTGCCAAGAAAACAAAAGAACAATATCACAAAGTAAACCCGAAAAAGCTCCAGACATTAGATGGCATTATATCAAACAAAATGTAATATGGGTCCTACCCCAAACATAGAAATTTGAGTCGATGATCCTATTGCCACTCCCAATGTTATATCCTAAAAAGAAGTTTATTAATTAGCAAACCATACAAATTCAATGAAATGGAAGTTTAGAGAATCGCTTACAAGCTTGTCTTTCATGGCAAACATAATAGCACTAGCATGCTCTGCTGCATTCCCAATAACGGGGAGCAAGATAACACTGATAAATGCAATTGACAAATCCCATGCCTCAGATGCCCCCTGATAAACAACAATCAGAAAGGAGAAAGACGGTAAAGGTAATCAGCCTATATCCTCGTGAATATAATTTTAAAAAGAATGAATGAAAGAGAAAAAAAGGTGCAAATCACCAAAAATAACAATTGTTACCTGTATTGTATCCACCAAATAGCCTGATAGAATGGAGATCCAAGCAGTCAAGATTGTAAGCCAAATCACAGATTCCCATTTGGTGATCTCCGGAGCTTCATCCTCGTCATTATCTGAGCCCTCCCCATCGTGACTTCCTTCCTGATATCACACCATTTGCCATAACATTTCATATTCTTCCATAAATACTTTTGGGCCAAAATAACAAAGTACTTATCATATTCAAAAGATACCAAAACAACAATAACCAACCTCATCAATAGGGGAATAGAAATCATTTGGACTTCTCAACTGGAAAAAAAGATAGGCAGCATACGCTACAAGCATAATACAACTGCTAAATCTTGAAAGAGCCAACTCTGACTTCCCGACTTGTCGTTCAGTGTGTGTGTAGTGGAGGACAGCCGGGAATAGTAAACCCATGACTGCCATCAGCAGCAGTCCTGAATTGACAACGCCTGTGGCCTGGATAAAATTTTAGGTTCGTTTAGAGTGATAAGAAAACGAAAAATAGCAAAAATTAATGCAGGCAACATACCAATGTCTCCTTACCTTGTTAAAAACTTGTTCCTTTCTATGATATACGAGCCCATCACAGAAGAACGCACACCCAAGAACAAGAAGCATGTTTGACAAAATTGAGCCCAACAATGACAGCTGAACAACACGTGTCATTCCACTTTTCAGTGCATATATCGAAATAATCAGTTCTGTTGCATTCCCAAACGTAGCATTTAGAAGACCACCAACTGCAATTGATCTCAACATATTAAATGTCGTTACTAACAAGAAATTTAAACATAAAAATTTTGATAGGGTTTAGAAATAGTAGTTTAATCTAGACAATAACAAAAAATCCATAACAACTAAGAATAATAAGTACCGGTAGGTCCAGTGTAAAAAGCCAATTGCCTACATTCAATCAAAAGATATGGCAATGTTAAACGCCAATAAAACAACTGATAGCTCCAAAAGAACAAATTCAATGAAAGAAAATGAATTCATACTCAGTCGCATAACCCAAACGCTCTGCCAAAGGTGTTATACCCAGTAAGCTTAGAAAGAAGACCCACGCCTGCAATCCACTTCGCAATTAAACAACTTACATGAAAAAGAATATGAAGCAAGGAAAGAGCAACAATAAAAACTCACATTATTGGCAGTCAGTTTGTGAACCAGGATTGCTTGAGGCCCAAAAGGCATGAGCAAGTTAAGTTTATTAGAAAAAACTACGGTCTTTATGCTACCATAGACACGGTTCCTTATCATTTTATGATAACGAATAGGGAAACCATCAGAAAGTGGTAATTGTTGATCTGAAAATGGTATTTGTATTTTTCGAGCATCCTTTCCAGGGGAGAGGAGGCACTCATAATCGAGATCAAGCATTGACCTATTGTCTACTGATCCCATCTGCACAACAATCATTAAAACAAAATGCAGGATAGAAATACTCAAAAAGAAGAAGAATTAGCAACTCGCATATTCCCCAACCACAAAAAAGGGTAGAACATTAAAATTAAGAATAGCATACCTCAACGAGGGATTGAACTCCGACTCGCTGCTTGTAATCCATCTTCACCAATCAAAAGAGCAAAAAGTTCACCATTGCCATTAACATAAAAATGCATTGCAATATCACTTTTTTGGTTCTTAATTCCTCAATGTCTAAACAACAACAGCACAATTGAAATTTGTTCCCAGAAAAATGCATAATATTAGTAAGCATACAATACCTTAAATTGTAATAAAGTAATACCATTCCATATCAAGATCTCAGCTTTCAAGTTGATTCTCCTAGATACTCATCCATCAATTCATATTATAATAAAACCAAACTAATTTTTTTCCCATGACTTCTATGCATCAAACAGAAACCAACAACATCGAATACACGGAAAAATTAACCGATTCAAATTCCAAACAATCAATAGCACACATTATATTCAAATATTAACATCAAAGGATGCTTAATAAAAAATATCAAACAACGCAAGAACAAACAAAACTTCAACGGATCTGAGAAAGAACTAATATTTATTACGAACCTTCAGAAATCTCGAAATGTGTGTGAATAAAAATACCCCAAAAATATTATAATTAATAATAGGAAATAAAATATTGTTCCTTCCCCCCAAAAGAAAAAAAAAGGAGTCTTTTTTTTTTTTCTTTTGGTAGGAAAGAGAACCCTCAACAACGATACCGTACGAATGAAAGAGGATTCCAATTTCGTATTTACGGGATTATATGTAGCGTAGCTAAGTTCTGATTCTCCGTTTTCTTAGTGTAATTTCTCGTGTAGTAATTTGAAGTGCCCGTCTTTCTTTGTTTCTTTTTTAAGCCTTAAGGTTTTACAAAAATCTAACTTTTTCATATATAAAAAAATCAACTCAATCTTTAAATTCTTTTTATAACTAATTACACTCTATACCTAAAATATAATTAATGTAATTTTTTGACCAAATAACTTTAATTTATTTTTTTTCTGAAATTATTTCTATCATTTGTTATGATGATGTGATTTGGTATTTTCAGAATTTGTTAATTTTTACTTTTAAAAAATATTTTAGATTTTTAAAAAATATAAAAATATTAACTTTATTTATCTATTTATTAAAATTCTAAAATTTTATTTAAAAAATAAAAAATAAACATTAATAAAAATGAAAAAAATTAAAAAATTATTTTTTTTTTTTGAAAAAAATTAATATATAAAATATTATATTGTTTTTGAAACATGTGATCCCAATTTATATTTTTGAAACCAGATCATTGTTTATTAATTCATCATTTTTATTGTAAATATCATCCATTTGAATGAATTTTCTTTTGTTTATTTAAAATATCATTCAGTTTTTATTTAATTAATTCACTCCTTATCTGAAAAGCGAATCATATAAAATGTAATCATAATCATTTAAACATTGCATTTCATTTTCTTAATCTTAAAATTTTATAGTAATATCTTTATGGTTTAATTTTTTTTACCAGAGAAAATGAAATCACCTATTTATTTCATTTTATCTCAAATCTAAACCATTTTTCAAAGTAAAATTTTGATTTCAATCTCCATGTCTAAAGTCAGATAGTGCTGCCTGAACTTTATCCAACTTTGGTTCAAAATGAGTTGTCGCTATCACAAATAAAATATAAAAATACTTTCATTTAAAAAATATTCAAGGAAGAAAAGAAGAAGAAAAATATCCATGTACAATGTTTTGTGTTCTTGGGACAGGTCTTGAGCCAGACAACAAATGTGTGTGTGTGTGTGTATATATATATAAACAAAACATTCAATTCTGAATATGCAAGAGAAATTACAAAGATTGTTTACTTACAACATAATATCATAATACCAACTTATTTCCATTTTCAAACAGACAACAAAAAAGATCTCGAATCAAACGCAACACATTCACACATGATTAACAGACCAGACCAGACCAGTGTTTCAGATGGTAGATATCTCTTGCCAGTTTTGGTGCAAATGCTTCACTGGAACCAGCTCCTAAACTATCTCTTCTTATCTCTCTATACATCCACACTAGAGCCGATACACCTGCAAAAGCCATGGTTGCAGCAATGGCGAAACCGGCCAAGGCAACCGTGAAAACCAACCCAACAAAAAGTAGCAGAGGACTGAACAGTAGCAGCAGAGGTAAGCTTATAAATAGCAGTGTTGATGTTGCCAAGAAGCCGAACCCCATCATTCCCAGCAGCGGTGCAGTCAGGGCCACACCAGCCATTGCTGCCAACATCATTGACCTTCCTGTTTGCTGTTGTTGAAGCCTTTCTCCCATTGATCTACACTTCTGTTTTCTATTTTTCCACCTTGGGAAAGTGATTGATTCTTTTATCTTATAACCGAAAGAGGCTAAAATGACGTGTTGTTTAGGTGCTTCTTGGAACCTACGTGTATGGATTTGGCTCTTCCATGTGTCGGCCACTAAGCCATTCAAACGACACGTGCTTTTTGCAAGGTTAGTCAATAAGGCACAAGAGAACAATTCCCACGAATTTCAATAACTTTTTTTTATCACAGAGGTCTTTACAAAATTTTGATTTTCCAGTGACAATCAAAATGTCAAAATGAACTCGGGGTTTGAAAATGGAATATCGATACAGAACAACAAGAGGATCGAATAACAAATCGATGTGTTTGATTAATCTAATACAATATTCTCAAAAAAACAATGGCTATCAAGCTATCCTTGCAACCTGCGGCAGTGTTTTCAGAAGCGACATTGATGGTTTCCTCACAGTGTGATTGAGCAGTAGCATCAGTGTTAGAAGGGTCAAGGCCCCTGCCTGATGTGCAGTGCCTAGCGAAACAGGCACGTATGATAGAAGTGTTGAGACACCTAATGTTACCTGTAATAATGAAAAATAGAGTTAATTATATGTCATATATAGAAGAACTATCAAAGGAAAAACAGGGTCGAAATGGAGAGTCACCTGAAGAGCAGCCATGCCAAAAGTGGCTCCGACCAGAGATCTAATAGCCGGATGGACGTCCAGCTTTTTGGTCCACCACCATAAGCCACAGATGGAGATCAAACTGGAAGTTGCAAGGATACGATGGTCAAGCTGCAAAAAGAAATACGTATACCATCTGTTATCGAAATAGTTGTTTCTCATTTTCCTAAGATATCAGTTGTTACCACGTACAAATCTTAATGCAGAGTAACTGTAAAGGAATCCCAGTTTAAAAGGGCACTATGTGTGTGTATATGGAGCTTCTTCGAGTTGACTGTATCAAAATTATAAGTATCATTGTGTTCAAACAATATAAAACAAAATCGAATTGAAGTGACAATTCGAGCTTCACAAATATACTTTGAACAGATTATCCAGTATAAATGAACTGATGCCCGCATTTCAATTGTTTCCCTTATCTAAGCAATTATAAGCAATTGTTTCACAAATATACTTTGAACAGATTATCCAGTATAAATATTATAGAAGACGAATTACCTGCACCATGGCCGTATTCTCGAAGAAGTTTCGGATTATTGGTTTCAACTCAAATAAATTATCAGGAACCCACACATCTCCCATCTTTAGAAAGGTAATGTATGCACGGCCCTAGAAATGAAAGGATACCCAAATTGATCATTGGCAAGGGCAGAAAAGGTTTAAGGTTATTGGAAAGAAGAGATGCAAGAATTGAATAAAAATAATTACATACGGCATCGTTTCCAGCAACAAATGCTCCAGAAACAGCGGTAATGCCGACAACAAGGCTCACTGGAATTGCAATTCTCCTGACTTTGGCAGCCCCTTGAACCCAAGCTAATGATTCAGCAAGAGGTTCAGGCATTACAACAGAAAGAGCAGTCCAGAACAGGCCACTGTAAATAACGAATGCTGAAGTAAGATGAGCGGGCTCACTCGTGGCTCGACATATTCAGAAGCCGGTTCCTGTAGGAAGAAATTATCTGTGCAGTGAACGATACTCTACTAATTTGGACTCAAATTTACCAAGAAAGGAGAAATGAAATTAGGAGAATGTGGGTTACTTCTCTCCTCTAATCCACTTTTAACCATCCACCAACCAATTAAACCCTGACCAGCACCAAGAGCAAAAAGGGCAGACAGCCTTAGTCCAATATATCCCTTACGAAGAAAATATGAGAATGGCAATGCAAACATGACACCTAGGGCTCTACCCCACATTCGATGTGCGTATTCCATCCAGTATATGAACTTAAAATCTTCAATACCCATCCCTTTGTTTACTCTGACTATAAAGGTTATTTAAATTAAAACTAAATAACAGGTAAAATACAATTTACGAGACAAGTTTACCTAGGGCTTCAAACTACAAATACTTAGGAATGAAACAACAAAATATTACAGATAAATACATCATTATGCCACATTTTTTCTCGTACCGCCTGTACTCTGGTGACTGCTCGAATTTCTCAAACTCTTGCTGCCACTCCTCATCAGATAGAGGAGGAAGGTTCCCCGTGAATTTCCAATCAGTCATTGAGAGACCAGATCGTGTCAGTCGTGTGACACCACCTAAAACCACCATACTAAAGACCCATGCAGTAGAACCAAAAAGCCATATCCCCACCATTTTCTGAGCACGCGGACATGCAGTTACTAATTGCTTTAATCCCCCTCAGCGCCAACAGAGGCCATGGTGGACATTTTCCTGAAAGACGACACATGATGATCCTAAAACAAATAAAAGAACACCCTTTTAGTGACATTCACATAACACTGGGAGAGCAAATCATTATTGTTCTTTTACATAATTTTAAGAGAAAATATAAAGAAGAAGCGACTTCCTGTCATCGAATGCAAAAACAGGAGTTGAAACATCATTTTCACCTTCAAGTACTTATGCCAGATGGGATAATTAAAAGATAAATGTAGCCTCTTGATAGTTGTAGAAAGGTAAGATTGCTCAAAATCCCTAATAATTATTCAAATTAGAACAGAATGCATCGGTTATGATAGAATCAAAGACTAATCTTAAGTGCTTCCATAAAACTGAAAATGTGGTTTTAGAATGAAAATTTCTAATTTAAATGAATTCCCATCATTCATCTAAAAAGTTTAATCAAACAAAACCAAAAATTGGGATGATCCGAGTCACTCGGTATTACATTTTCTCAACAAATATCTTTAAGAAATAAACTACAAGTGAGTAATCAACCCAATCACATCCTAAGCTAAACTACAAACGATTCATTCGAAATCTAAAGCAAAAGAAATAAGGTAAAGGATTTCCATGTTCATAAAGTGGATAAAGAATCGAAATTGAGAAGAAGAAGAAAAAAATAACCTTAGGCAGAGATCTAAAGCCATAAAAGGAGGTCCTTGCAAATGAATTAGCAATCGGAGCATAAGCAGAAGAAGATGAAAAACAACGAGAGGAAGAGGTTCCCCTGAGATTGGATGTTAAGCTATTGAGTATAGATTTGTTTCTCTTTAGAATTGAAGCAACCACTCTGCTTTGAAACATTTCCCCCCTTTTTTGCGTCTTCTCTCTGGCTTTCTCTTCTCCTTAATTCTTAAAAACTGAGGGTTTATTGAGGTTTTTCGACAAACTGTTTAAGGGATTTGCCTTTGGCCGGGTTTGGAGGATCCATTTTGCTATTAGTTTTGGTGGTTTCAAACCGACATAATTCCCCAAAACATTTTCTAAAAGAGCAGATAAACTCATATTTTCACCATTTGATACATAAGGCATCATTGATGACTTGTTCGAAATCTCAGTTTCAAGTCGACCAAGATATGTGTTTTCACCATTTGATAAATAAATCATGGTTTTATTTTAAAAGAGAGTTTGTGACCTGCACGAGTTAATCGATTCAAATTTAGTGACGAAAAATATCTATTTACGCCTCACCATTTAGATCTTAATGGCTCAATGCTAAATTAAAAAGTTAGTACTAAAACAGTATCGTTGTTTAGTTTAAATTTTCCCTTATGTTGATTTAGTTCTTGAAAACTCCATTAGCTGCTGATATCCATTTAGAATTACAGAAATTTGTCTCACGTCAAATTGGAGCTTCGATGTACATCTAATTTTGCCTCATAATGCCTGAAACAACAATTGATATTTTCTTTATCTTTTCTATCATTGGCTAAAACATTTCCTTTATGCATCTTAGCTTACAGTTAGACCAACCCCTGGTTTCTATCATTGTCTCAAGCAACCTGATTTTTATATATGATCGAATGAGCTACGGAAATGCTCTTTGTGAGACCCGAATTGCCTTGGTTTTTCCTTTGATAAGGGTTTGTTGTTGTTGTTGTTCATCACAGTTCAATGCTTATGCTCCAAAAATACATCTCTTCCTTAGGAACCCTCAAAGAAAGAGTCGCTAAACCAGACGCATCTTCGTATTCAAAACTCACTTCTTCAGTATCAACGGTTATTCTCTTTGGCCGTGTCAACAAATAGGATCCGAATAGGCCACATCCTCGAACTTTCATGTTGATGTTTGGGGTTTTCCCAGGCTGATGATGATATCTGAGTTCCTTGATGGCTCCTCCTGGATTGAACATCTTTATTAAGCCAATTGGAGCGAATTTATACCCATCGGATAATATCTTTACAGGTACCACTGTGAAAACTTCGTATTCTCGTGCCTTTAGAGTGATCGGCATTGTTGCCTCATTTGGAAGGTAAACCAATTCTCCTGCATTTAGGAATCAGTGAAGTTTGTTCAGCAAAATTGAAACATTCTTGCATAATTCTGAGTATCTGTCATGAAATACCTGTCTGGATCATATTCAGACACGAGCATCGGATATGACTCTTGAAACGTGGAAAAACATGCTTATGTCGGGCACGTAATCGTATCCCACATAACTAAGTTAGAGTAATATAGGGTAAAAGGACATGAAATTAGCATGCTTGACATACCACCAAGATGGGAATATACGACAGAATCTCCGTTCATTCATATCCTGTAATTGTACCAGGTTGTTCATCATGAATGACATTTGTTTTTCCAACTTTACACCACCCAGCACCTTGGCAGTTGAATGAACCGATGACTCCGGTGAACTCGTTCAGATTCCAAATCTTCAAAAGGCTGCACAGTAGAGATACCAAGAGTATAATGAGCATAATTCAAGAAATATTTGTGTCAGACATATTTGAACGTTGATACATATTCGTATCCGACACTCAGACCCGTATCCAAGTAACATAGTACAAAATCCTCACCTTTTCCCATCTCTGGCAGGATCTGAGAACAAGCAATCCTTTGTAGGTCTTCCTGGAAGTTTGGCTCTCAATATAGAACCATCAGGAAGTACAAGTTTCCTGAGTAGGTTAAAGTCATGTTGCCCAGGTTTGTCACTGTAATAATACAACACCCAGTATGAGAAATCATATGTTAAATTACTACTTTCAAAATCTAACTATCAAGAACTAAACGACACTAAATTTTACCCGACATAAATAGCACATCCTCCGACTGCACGGACTGCTCCATGGTATTTGGCCATCGGATGCAGGCTCTGTAGTCAACTTCATTCATGAGTTAACATTTGACGATGAAGCATGGATCGAAATTGAATGTTTTAAACATAGACAAAATCTGCTAACTTACATGGAACATATCCCAATCTGGTTGCATAAATTCCCCAAGAAAAACAGTGTTGTATGCAACTGATGCAATGTGGATCGTGTGGGATGCCAGATCTCTAGGCCAGAAATCATCCGATGCCCTAATAACAGCGGTTCGTTTCGCACTGCATGAATAAGTCATATGTCAGTGTAAGTTCAAGGATCACCGGTAGCTTTACTAGTACATGAAAGATGAAATTTTACCTGTATAAACCATCTGTGTTATACAAGAGATTATATCATTGTTTTTGAAGTTCCTAGCAATTGATGACTCTAAAGCCTGATGATATTTTCTAGCAAGTTTCACTCTTCCGCCATGGCCTGATCCGAGAGTTTTAAGGATATTCTGAACATCAACTTTGACTCCGTCAATGCCGGCTGATGCAAGGTATGCATGGAGTTCATCATAGAAGCTGAAAACTTTTTCGGGGTTAGCAAGGCCAAGGCCAAGGCCGTTCTTAGTTAAGCTGTCGAAAGCTTGGTCAGGCTCATTTGACTTAACTCCAGGAGATGAAATAGGGTAAACCACTTTGGATTTATAGTGTTCCATTTCGGTAACATCAGGTCTAACACCTCCCCAATACCCTGTAATTGCCTGCCAGACATAAGCATACTTCAAAGCATGTTTTTGTTTGATTTCAGTGACAATGTGGCGAAGCGCCAAAGCCGGATCCTCTACTCTGTGACCCTCTTTGCGATCTTTCTGAAATTTATGGTTCTCTTTGATATTTGTCAATCTGTTTGTGAAACTGAAACACAAGAAAACCGAAACAACAATACCTTTTAGCCTATGAAAAGGAAGAATTAGCAAGAATAAAGAGAGAATTTGGGTTTAAATCCTTAAATGGCAGCGTTATCAGCTTTGAATTCAGATCCATTGGCATCCATAGCAACAGATTGCCATCCATCATTAATAATAACAAACTTTGGAGGAATCCCACCTTTCTCCAAGCTGCAAGAGTTACTAAGTTTATCACCTATGTCTAATGCTCTAGACACTGTATTCCTGATAAATAGAATCGAATACGAAAACCTTACCTCTGCAATCCTTCCTTTAAACTCTCAGAAGTGACATTGGTGTAGAAAGCATCCCATGTACACCAACCAAACCAGTTCAGCATGTCTGGCATCTTAACAACGAAGAACAAATGCAATTATAATTCGGTGTATTAGGAACGGAGATGTCATGATTCGAACTCTAGCGACAGAATGTTACTCTCAATAAAGACTTACCTTCTTTCTTTCCCGATTAGAAAACGTCTTCAAATGTTTTTCAACTGACCTGCATAAAATTTCAAGTATTACTTAGCTAAAGTGGATTTGAAGTCATGCAGCACTTGAAGGACCAAGGCTGAAGTAAACTATGTCATTTTGGACTCAACTGTAAATGTTGGATATGGATGTGCTTAATTTTCTTAATGTTGTTTCGAGTATTTAGAAGGTACTTGAAGGGATATATCCGTACTCGATTCCATTTCGAATGAGTGTAGAACATATGTATTCTAGAAAAACGAAGAACTGGAATAACAGAGAAAGTAAATACTACTTTCAAGCTGAATATGTAAAAGATGTCATCAAAGTAGAGTGTTTTAAAACTTACTTAACAGCGTCAGTGATGACCTCAAATGGATCTGATCCAGCTGCCATGAAAACCAAATGATTACCCTGAAACTCATCGACAGCAGGATCTCCGCAATGGCCAATGATCCCATAAGTTCTATCGGGACAACCAAAAATGTTTTTAAGACAATACCAAATCTGAGTTAATGGCTTGATTCTCCTCTCATACCACTTTCCAAACAAATCTCCAGCTCATTTCTTTCATTGCCTTGAAGAACAGCCCTGAAATCGCCTTCGAGAATAGGTAAAAACACGACATATACGGCGGAGTCGTCTCCGTTTCCAGAGCCCTCGTGTGCCTCCACGATCAAAAACTGGGTTTCGAAAGGGATATCTTGACCGCATGTTCCCATCCTCTGTGTCATCACCACATTTTGAATCTGAAAACGCACATAAACGGAATCCCCTGCAAGAGAACCACACATGATAATCCTTAGCAGTTTAGCACATTAAAAGCAAAACAACAGTCTTAATACTAATTTCCAGCCAATATAAAGGTTCTTTTTTTCTCTTTCTATCAAATTTTCTCGTGAAACAAACAGAAAGTTACGCAGGAAGAAACAAGATATATGTGATAAAAGATAACATACTGAAGCTTGCCGACGGGGAAGATCCTGCGGCTACCGATCTTATCGGAAACAACTCCCATGAAAGCTCCATTAGCCAATGCAGAACCAGAAGCCGGAGCCACCACGATGTTGTTAGGAACATCGTGAAGAACGCAGTTTCCAAACACCATTAACTTGCCATCATCACTCACACAAATCCCAGCCCCTACAGTCATCTTCTTTTTCTTGTTTCAACCAACAAAAATAAGTAACAAAAATTTCATAGGAAACAAAACAAAGTTACCCTTCCAAACAACAAAATAAAGGAAACCCAATCCCAGATGCAATTAATGAATTTCCGGGGAGGATATATTTATAAACCGGGAACAACACAGGAGAACGGTTTTACAATGGGATAAAGGTAAATCTTTGATCTTTTTTGATAGGCATAAATGTAAAAATCTAGAATTTACTTGGTGTATTTTTTCTATATATAGATGTGGTTATCTTTAAATGTAAACCAATGAGTTGCTTTACAATCTGAGTGAGTCCGTAAAGCAAGGCCAGACTCGTTCTTTTTGAGTTAATATCATTGCTCCCGCGGGAACATGTTTGGATTTAACTTTTTTTGTCAGATTGTCATATATCTGCAATAGGCTCTTCTGAATAAAAAGTTCATAGCTTTCTACTTTTCTAATTCGGCGCAATCTATTGGACCACACCTCGTACTCTATTACCCTTCGTATAATGAGCTATGTTAATTTATTGTCAAAAGATATGTTTTTATAGGAGGTTATTATTTTAAAATTTTAAGATATCTTTTTAATTTTAAATAAAATTGATATTATTAATCGAACCATCAAACGATTTTAGTGTTTAAAGTATGTATTTTTTAATTTTGAATTCGAATAATTGTGTTTGATGCCTTGTTAATGGATAAATTTTTTTAAATAAATACTACATTATAATCACCTCAATTGATTCAAAAAAATTATTAATTTCGCCAATATGTGATGATCGAATGTGACCGGTCTTTAAAGTTTAAATTTTATTATAAATTTAGATAAGTTGAATTTTACATTATCTTTCAAGTTGTAATATTTTTTTAAAGAATAATTAAAACATATTGATTCTTATTAAATTTAATGAAAACTTTAATTACTTAAAATAAAATATTTGATCTAAATGTTTTAAATAAAAATATTATTCATATTTAAGATAAATCACTTGACGAGCAAGTATACTTGACCGATTGATCAAACTGCTATCTTTATTTCTTCGTATTTCTTTATGTCATGAGTTATAGATTCACTAAGAATATTTTTTTTCCTCTAGAGTATTTTCTTCCCTCTATTCTAAATAAAACTGTAATTAGGTTTACAATTTATTAAAATAAAAATAAATTATTTGATTTATTAATAATGGAGGTTGCTGTTAAATTTAAGTAAAATGCATAAAATGTGGACCACGCCATATTCTGTCGTACGGACCACCACAAAGTCTAAGCCCTATGATTGGTACTTAGTACACGCAAGAAATGAACAATTTTGTTTCATCTGATGTTGTGTTCTGATGTGAGTTTGGCGAACCGTTGTGGCATTCGATAAAATCCCACAAATCAGGCTTTTCAAATATCTCTCTTTTTGAAGAAAGTACGACGTGCGGTAGGTTTAATATATGATTAAGAAAAGATGATATAAGTTTTATTATTATTTTTTTAATAAAAGTAGTGAAAAATTATCTGAAATATTATTATTTTTATTATTTTTATTATTATTTAACGTTTTACCTGTTTTATTAATATATCTGGTAAAGTGTTACTTAAAACATTATTTTTTACTTATTTTGTTATTATTGGACATTTTACCGGAAATATTAAAAAACATTAATGTTTTAGGTATAAATAATAATGTTTTAGGTAAATTTTTATCGGTTTTTTTTTAAATAATAACAAAACTTGTAGCGTCTTTCCTTAGCCGTATATTAAGACTGTCGCACGATAGAACTTCTCCTCTTTTCCTTCGACTTGGAAAAACATGTTCCAAAATATCTTATCTTTTTTGTTATTTTAATTAATCATTGATATTCAATCTATTAATCGACTAAATTAGATTAGGTAATACAGAGACGAATATGACCTTTCTAACCCTATTTACTCAATATGCAAACTCCAAGATTCAAACTTTTGACCTGGTAAAGAATTTAGTATCTAACCTCACTAGACCAATTAGTCATTAGTATCTTTTCGCCTCTTTTGATCCTATGTGAAATTAAATAGTACACATTCGAATAAATTATAGGATAAAACTACACCCTTAGTCACTAAATGTTGGGTTTTGTATCAATGTTAATATCAAATTTTGTTTTTGGTTCAATTAAATTATTGGATCATTAAATTCGAAATGGTGTGATGCACATGGTTATTTTGGTGTTGGTATAGAAGTTAAAAAAATATTTTATTCTATTTTATCAATTTTTTCATTAAGATTAAGATTTTATCTCTAGTTCTTTTTAGTCGTCTTAGAAGTTATCATTATTTGACGTCTTTATGGCCTCCGTAAACACCAGTAAACTCGTCTTATCCTCCTCAATCACTTTATTAATTTGGATTTTTCTCAAAACTTCTTTAAAATTTATAAATTAAACATAAAAAATCAATCGTTTTAGAAGGCTTGAGGGCTATCTTGGATTTTAGGTTTTTTGTGTGTTTATTCAAAAATCTAAACGACAAAATGCATTCTTTCAAGAAGACGAATGACATACATTTAAATTAGATTCATCGGACGATCGGGGAGGGAATCAGAGCATTAGAACATCAAACTTTTTATAATTTTTTTTTATCAATTTTGAGTGAGTTCCATGAGAAATCAATCTAATAATTATATATATAGTGCAAACATTTTAATATTAAACTTGCCGCAAATGATAACCTATGATGGACCATGACTGGACAAAAATAGTGACCAAAGGGGTTGACAACTATCTATTAAAAAATGAGGAAGAAACAATCACCTCATCATATTGTTAACAATATATCGACTCAATGCTCTAATTGAACCTAAAGTCTCACATTAAAGTATTTTAAAAGTATTGTACTAAAAATAATACAAACCCTAACTTTAATGACTAACATTATAATTTACCCAAAATTATAATAAAAATATTCATTAAAAACATAATTCAATAACCTAAAAACATCTCTAATCGGAATAAATCTGGAATATAAAATGGGATTTGATGTTGGCAGCTAACATTGAGTGGGTGACATGCAATGAGTGGGAAAAGATGGGGATAATTTACGTGTGGCCACGGAGATCACGTGGAAACACACATTGTATCCGACTTGGCACCCATCTATGTGAGTAATGAAAAATAACTTTTCCCTTACGTTATTATTAGTTTTATACTCAATAAAAATCTACTTATTTTTATTATTTTTCTTCTTGTCATCATCGGTTCACTTAAAATTAGCTTTCAAATCAGAGGTGGATACACTAAACTTTTAGGAATTAAGTGCATACTATTATTTTAAAAAAATAATCAAATTTATAAATTAATGTGTTTAAAAAATTGTATACTCATTTTAAGAAAAATATTAAAATTTTAGATTTCGTTCTTAAATTTTTATATGGGTCACTATTTCAGATAATCATCCATTACATGTTTACCTTAAAAAATTGAAGATTCATTCTTGTAAAATGATAATACAAAGAGAAAATTATGCAATGTATAATTTTAATTGACTGGAATTGTAGACACTGTGGTGAAACAAGTTTATATCATGTTTTGGATAAACTACATAAATAGTTACAGAAATTTAAAGGTGTTTATATTTTGATCATCAAGTTTTTAAAATTTAAAATATAATTATTAAATTTTTAACTCGGTTTTATTATATTCATTAGTATTAACAACTGTTAAGAAAAATTGGTTTGACATATTAAAATTAGATTTTTCTTATTTTTATATTTTGTTTAATATTTTCTTTTGTGTTTTTTCATTTGCATGCAATAGCTCAACCAACAACATAAGTGTGAACTCATTTCATGACCAGGGTTGCCGATTATAGCACATGGACCGAAATAGATGGTAAAATTGTTGGGATGATACATTGAGAAAACTTATTTGTTTATACGAGGTGTCATAAAAATTATTATTTTTAAATAAAGTTAATGTTACGGTGTTAATTGAAAGTAGTTGAGATTATCGGATGTCTTTTGAAAGATACAACATCTTCTTAATCTATGTGCATCTGGTCAGCTTTGCATGGTCGATGAGCGTGAAAATGATGATGCTCTTGTTAATGGCCTTGAGCTGACGAAAGAGCTATGTGGAGATGGTGAACTTACCGACTTTTTCGATGACTTCAGTAACGCTTGTTAGAGCAAAAGACAAGGAAGCTAATACGAACTCCATTAATTGAGTTTGGGAAGACGAAGAACGGAAGCTAATAAAGAAAGACGCCGTATCTTTTAAAAGACGTTAAGTGATTTCAACTATTTTTTATTGACACAGTAACGTTCATCATATTTAAAAATATAATCTCTTTAACGTTTAATATTAACAAATTCATTTTCTCACCTGATTGTTCAGGTAAATTTGCGCAAGATAGGGTTGCCAACTAACAAATAACAATTTCCATTTTTGGCAGAGAAACATGCTGGGGTACCATTTGTAATAAACATCTATTGCAATTTTCCATATTCATTCAACTGAAAGAAGGATTAATAAAGGGATGAAGCAACTTGGGTGCTGGGCCTGGATCGTGACAAACTTGGTTCAGCCCCCCATCAATCTAAAATATGCAGTCCAACTAATTTGTCCCCAAAACCCTATCCATTTGTCCGGTTCTATGCCACTCCTGCCAATCTACAATTGCTAATGCAGCTGTCAGTTTACTGCATTTGATGGATGATCGTATTAACAAGATTCTTTACTCATAACCATTATGTTGATAGTATTGGAATTTGATCCAAACTTATTCTTTTTACTTCAGCTTGAAGCGTTATTACAATAGGAGATTATAAATAATTTTACGTGTACTTATTTTGTATTTAAAAGTTATGAATTATATATGTAATTTAAATATTCTAATCTGTTCTTTCATTCAGAAAAACATTGAGAATTGGAAGTTAAATTCAAGTCTGTCAATGAGTGATACTTCACCCAAATATTAGTGAATCGCGTAGTGGATGTTGTCCCCCCACCCAAAAAAAAAATAGAATAATTGTTCACACAATAATTTTAATAAGGTATATTTGAAAAACTATAAGCAAAAGGATACATGAGGTTTTTATACTTTAAAATTAATGCGATTCTCGAAATATTTTTACATATAATGTGATATTTTGACTAATGGTTTTCATCCTCAGTCATATTATTAACTATTATTGACTGACATGTTAGCACCGTAGATCATCACATCAACATCGTAATGGCCAACGATGAAAACGGTTGATAAAAAAATCACATTGAATTTTTTTTAAGTTTGAGA